GACGTATAATATCAATATCTAGGTGGTGACATCAACTATGCATGCATATTGCGCATCCAATATTACGTCAGGACACGACGACTTCAGGTTGAGAATAAATAGAATTGCCACCCAAGTTTAATTGCTTCTCATGGAAACTTCTAATATCGCCATCGTACAGTAACAGTATGTATTATATAGTACATGCGCTCTCTCTCTCTCTCTGTCTCTATCTATCGTACATGATTAAGTCGTCACAAAACGTCATGACCACGGTGAATACGGAGGCATGGTCGTTGTAGGTGTTTGAATAAACAATTAATGGTAAGCACAGAATACAAAATAAACTCAACNTATCTCTGTTTCTATCTATCGTACATGATTAAGTCGTCACAAAACGTCATGACCACGGTGAATACGNTGTCTCTATCTATCGTACATGATTAAGTCGTCACAAAACGTCATGACCACGGTGAATACGGAGGCATGGTCGTTGTAGGTGTTTGAATAAACAATTAATGGTAAGCACAGAATACAAAATAAACTCAACGTCACAAGAAGAGAGGGGATGTGGAGATGATCAGTGTAATTCAGTGCTGGTTAGTAAGAAAAGTGGTTGCCTCGTCAATTGTGGGCTACAATCATCATTAAGAGTAGAATTTTGAAGAATAACGGTCATGATTAGAGTTGAGACAGAGTGATCTCATAACGGAATAAATGTTATGATATTGTTATAGTTGAATATGAGAGAGAGATAACAATAATAATAAGCACGAACATGTTGGCAGTCGGCTAAAGTATGTTGGTAAAATTCTGTCCCTCCCTGTAGCAATGTACATGGTATATATAGGCAGCAATGTTTGTTGTTAGTGAGTGCAGGAGTTAAAAAAAAATGGTGTACATGGCATAGAAATAGAATTAGTCACAATGGGGGATGGGCACTTGGTAATTATTTCTTTCAGGTCATTAATCAAAATGTAAATCAACCAAATTAGGAAGAGTAATGCTATTTAAACTTAATTTGTTGATCAAAAGAAGAAATTTGTCGCCAAAAAAATAAAAAAATGAAACAAGCTTTCTAATTTACAAAGGCTATATCACAAAAGGATAATTCACAAACGAAACAAGTTTTCTATTGAAATAACTTTTATTGCCCCTTTTTAAAAACAATTTGAATACACACACACACACACACACAGATAAACCATAAATCTAAAATTATTAAACTTGACAGATATACCAAAACACAATAAATATAATAAAAATCCACACCACACATAAAATCAAACATATAACTAAATCGATAAATAATATTAATTTGTATCTCATTAGAAAAATTTATATTAAAAAAATATTTTTGTGAGTGTATGAAATAGAATAATAAATAAAACTCTAATTGTGAGAAGATATAAGATAGATTTATTTATTAAATGGGTGTATATAGTATGACGTAGACTTAACCATTAATAAGGTGTGTCTAAAAAGAATGAATTTAATAGTTTAATANATTCTAATTGTGAGAAGATATAAGATAGATTTATTTATTAAATGGGTGTATATAGTATGAGGTAGACTTAACCATTAATAAGGTGTGTCTAAAAAGAATGAATTTAATAGTTTAATAATAAAATATTAAATAAGATAAGAATAGATATTTGTAGGGTAAAAATAGTCTCAACCACCAGAGTTAGACACTAGCTAGCCAGTATTTACGCAAACCAGTTATAGTTCAATCCTACTGCAGAGGATGTATGTGTGGGTGTCCACATCCTTCATCTAATTTGTTATCATGCAAAAGAATTTGCTGTTAATTGTTTTTAATGATTGGTATTCTTAAAATGAAGTTTTTTTTTTTTTTTTAAATAATTAAACATACGTAAAAACAACAAAGGTAAATTATATTTGAATTCTCCAAAATTTATCACTTAATTACTTAAACCCTATTAGGTATAACAAATTATACTGACAATCCCTCTCAGTAACGGTCAGCTAACGGACCTAACAGGAGCTATAAAATGACTACATTACCCTCAGATAAAAACCAAATGAAATCTTCTTACCCTAAAACTAGAAAAAACCAAATGAAATCAAAACTAACCCAAATCCAAATATCACAAAACGGATTTGATTAGTTCGACCCGATCTGACCTGTAATCCACAACATCTCTTCCCTCTTCCCTTCTCTCCACCGCCTGATATTTATTAAAATCACCGATTGCCACCAGTTAACAACCGAACACCACCCCTACAACCACTTCTTGCATCCCTAAAACCCATAATCCCATACTACCCACCACAATCTCGAAGTTAATATCCTAGCCCCACCCTTTTTGCAAAACTCCAAATGCAAAATGCCCTACCCCTGCTGCAATGGTGCAGTTGCACTGAAACCAACGATTCGTCACAAGCTTCTTTGATCTTTGGCTACACAATTCTTGACCCGTAACTCATGTTTGTGTGTGTATAAATTTGGGTGGTCTGTGTGTATAAGTGTGTGTGTGAGAGAGAGAAAGAGAGAGAGAGAGAGAGAGAGAGGTGTTGTGGTAGAAGGGAACGTTCTGGTTCTTAACGGTGGTGGTAGTGGATGATTGCTGGTTGTTGCCATGGTGAGAGGCGGTGCTTCGGCGGCGGTAGAGGCAGTGCTAGTTGAGGTNTCTCTTTTATATTTTCAATTTGATGTTAAATGCGAATACAAATATATTTATTGTTGAACATTTTTTATTACTTTGTACTTTCAAATACAAGCAATAACTAGTAATTTTATATTTTGTTCTTTTAATCAATAACTNAGTTAATTGCCTGATTTATGAGTTTAATTTCTAGGGTTAATTAGCTTGATTAATGGGATAGTTTGCTTAATAGACGATCTTAATTATAAATACAAAAATAAAATTAATTGTGTTAATTAAGGGTCAGTTGCTTGATTTATGGGTTTAATTTTTAGGGTTAATTAGCTTAATCAATGGAATAATTAATTGATAGCCCAATGGACTAGTTTAATTACATAAAATTTAGTTAACAAAAATTGAAGGTGCTAATTAAGTGGTCAATTATTTAATTAATGAGACTAATTAGTTAATGAGATAATGAAATTGATTAGCTTGATTAATGGATTTATCTTAGAAAAACTCATGAACTTGGAAAGTGGGTTGATCAATTAACCAATTTTGAACAANTTGGGGTTTTACAAAAATTTTAAAGTAGTAGACATTTTAAAATACAAAAAAATAAACTTAGAAAAACTCGTGAACTTGGAAAGTGGGTTGATCAATTAACCAATTTTGAACAATTATCTTAACGGAGACTAATGGATAGGAGTTATGTGTTACATGCACACATACCTTAATGGGTTTGGATGTAATATGTTAAATGTGAATGAGTCTAAGTGATTAAGTGACAAATTTCAAGCAGTCGGAATAAAATTTACCCAAACAACAATTGCGTGGATGGGGTTGGGTTTGTGGATATTGCTATTGCAGCCATTTCCCCCTTATCTCCACCTGTCTTTATTTCATTGTTGGTATAAGATAAAAAATAACAGGGGTGCTTTCACTTTACAGCTTACATCAATATTCAATTTAAATTTAGATTGGTACTGGGTTGGGATCAATTATCCAAACCCATCTAATGTTGTACCCAAACATAACACCCTTCAAAGGTTCCTATCCCAATTTAAATAGAAATGACAATAATATTTCCACCTAGAAATTGTTTGTAACCGGTAATTATATTTTGTTAGAGTGAGTAATTTGTAGTATTATTCGATACAGAGATATCACCATATAGATCGAGAATTAAGTTTTTTTATCATGTCAAAGAATCATGATTGGTGGGCTATAATGGTCGTGAGCAAAAGTAATTGGAAGTAGGCAGATACAAAAACTCCACAAGTTTTTTTTTTCTCTTTTATATTTTCAATTTGATGTTAAATACGAATACAAATATATTTATTGTTGAATATTTTTTATTACTTTGTGCTTTCAAATACAAGCAATAACTAGTAATTTTATATTTTGTTCTTTTAATCAATAACTTTGGAATCTCTCATATTTTTTTCTCTATTATTTAAAATAAAATATATTTATCTTAAATGTTTTGGATGAAAAAAATATATATTATTCTTTTTATTCTAAAAAATTAAAATAGAGAGTAAATTTGACCGTCTAACCGTAGGCAATCAAATTGATCTCTTTATTTCAGAGAATCTAAATAAAGCATCTATTAGAAATTTTTTTTTTGAAGATTAACACTATAATAAAAAATTGATTAAAATTATAGAACCTAGGGGAGATAGTCTAAGGCCTCTGGGACCCACAATATTCTAACTCTTTGTAGTACCTACCACCTTCTTCCCTACCGTTTCTGTCGCTAGCTAGGTTGAGGTGGTTTGTTCTTCTCGAAGCCTAGACCCCCCTGTGAAGTACAATAATGGCCATGATATCAAAAATTCCAATGCACATATGAACCCTTCATATCCTACCGGTCATATAACTTCCTTTTAATTCCATGATTATAATAAAATAAATTAATGTTAGATGTATTTAAAAATTAAATTTGATAATCTAAATTATTGAATAGATAATAAATTTCAATAAATGATGAGACCCACATTGAAATCAATTGTTATAATTATTAAGTCTATTTTTTAAATTTATGTAGAATTATTTAATAAAAAAATATAATTAAATTAAAAATTATATCAAAATTTTAAATTTAAATAACNACAATCTCAATTATTGAATAGATAATAAATTTCAATAAATGATGAGACCCATATTGAAATCAATTGTTATAATTATTAAGTCTATTTTTTAAATTTATGTAAAATTATTTAATAAAAAAATATAATTAAATTAAAAATTATATCAAAATTTTAAATTTAAATAACAACGTTACTCTATAAATAATCATGCCTCCTGGCCTGTTTACGCACAGCATCTCTCTTGTTTTTATCCTCACTCCAATCTTTGTCCACCCCCGGCTGCTGCTCTCTTAGTTGTTCATATGCTGTATTCTTAAAGTTGGACCAATCCGAGTTTAGTTTGTGGAAAGATTGAGGACAATGCAACGAAGAAACAGGCACTTCACTTGACTCTTGATTTCTACTGCCCAATGTCAGAAGATATGAATCTATCTGTGAATGGTCAGTCTCAGGTTCCTCCAGGCTTTAGATTCCACCCAACAGAAGAGGAGCTTCTTCACTACTACTTGAGGAAGAAAGTGGCTTATCAGAAGATAGATCTCAACGTGATTCGCGATGTCGACCTTAATAAGCTCGAACCATGGGATATTCAAGGTAAAGTCTTGTATTCCTTCTATAGTTTGACAGATAATCTAGCTTTAAGGAGTATGCTTACTTTGTTTTTCATGGGTTTTTTAGAGAAATGCAAAATAGGATCAACACCTCAAAATGATTGGTATTTCTTCAGTCACAAAGACAAGAAATACCCAACAGGGACTCGAACAAATCGTGCGACTGCCGCTGGATTCTGGAAGGCCACAGGTCGCGATAAGGTCATATATGGCAACCTTAGACGAATCGGAATGAGGAAAACTCTTGTATTCTACAAAGGAAGGGCACCTCATGGCCTCAAGTCCGATTGGATCATGCATGAGTATAGGCTAGACGATAACAACACTCATGAAGCCAGTGTAAGCCAGAGCCATATATATATATATATACTCACGTCTCTCTTTTCTATCCTCCTGTACTGACTCTTACTATTCTTTCTGTCGTAAATTTCGTGCTGCTTTTTTGTATCAAGTTACTGATCATATTATGATACTGGTGGATGGATGACAATTAATGGTATATAAATTTAGGTCCCTAATGTGTTGGGGGAGTACTCCTGCAGCTCCACCTCCACCTTCACGACAGAAGAAGGCTGGGTTGTCTGCCGTGTTTTCAAAAAGAAAAACTATCACAGATCCTTAGAGGGTCCCACACCCCCCCAAATCTCATCCGCCGCCTTCGCTAGGGATTCAAGGACGCAGATGCGTAAGTACCCGAGCAACGATGGCTTTATTATAGATGAGATATTTCAGTACATGGGAAGGTCTGGCTCTGGCTCTGGCGCAAAAGAACATGAGACAGTCAGCGAAAACTTTGTCAATCCAATCAACACAGCTATCAGCGACGGATCAGTTCAAGCTAGATTTCTCCATCTTCCAAGACTAGAGAGTCTGACGACCATTAAGTCACTTCCCAATCCCAACAATATTAATAATAACAGCAGCTTATCCAGCTTCCATCAGGATTGCAGTTTTGAAGTTTGTGAGCAGTCGATCGATTATAATATGAAGATGGAAGAAACTGAACCACCCTCCTCCTGCACTAATAAGCAAGGAAATAATGCTTGCAACAAAATGGACATGGTGGTTGATGGTCCAAAAGATGATGGGTTTTGTAACTGGGCTGTACTTGATCATCTCGTGGCTTCTTCGCAGTTCAGTGGCCGCCAAGAGGAGACATCCAAGCATCTGATGTCCTTCTTCTCCTTCTATGGTGGTACTGGTCACCCCAACGACGAGGCCTTGTGTCTTCCCCTACATCAAGAAGCACAATCACCNTCTTATCCAGGTAATTTGGATGCTATTGAATTTCTGTGTGTCCTATAATAAACTTTTTCACAGGATATTATTAGATATCTCAAAAGATAACAGTTTGTAATACAACAGTTTGACTTTTGGGTTTGACATTCAATACCAATTTGATACATGATGTCCCATTAGCGTTGTCGCCATTTGGTATCATTACATTTCTGATCCAAAGGCCTAATCACTAACGTCGTTTTTTTTCGTGGTGGAGGCATTATTCTGTCGTTGAACAATATACTACGGTGGATTATGTATTAGTTGGTACGTACCACGTTATTTAGGTGGAGAGAGAGAGAGAGATACACAAAACCCAATCCACCAGTTGATGAAGGGAGTTCATGTATGATACCTCCTCACTCACAAGCCATAGGACAGGACACATGACCCACTTGCAACATGACGCAGGACAATAATGGGACCAAGCATCTTGTAGGATTCACCGACGGACCCCACCCACACACACAGACATTAACCATGTTTTTATTTTGTGGACAATAACATTTATATATATATATCTATCTACTACTTTATTCCCCTTGGGAATAATTAAATTCACCCAATCGTCTCTATCCAACTGCTCACCTCTATCTTTATCAACAAAAACAAACATTAATGTTCAGGTGAATAGAAGAACATCTTCCTTTTCCAACTAATAAGATGGTGTTCTTTTGTTTTATCAAACTTGTCTAATTGCTTCTACCACATATGACATATATATTATATAGTATTAATTAAAAACAAAAAAAAAAAAATATATGTTGAAACTGACCCTTACTGAAAAAATAATGAATGGTCTACCAAGGAAGAAAACATTAGAAGGAAGGACCTTTGATTCACCAAACAAAAAACAACACAAGTCTCAACTCTTGTGGTTAGTAACTGAATTACCAAAATTAAATGATTCTCTTAAATTGATTAATTCTATATTGCACCAAATTAGTTGCAGCTATATATGAAGTCTTGAACAAAACTTCCCCTCAATTGAGGGATCGGGGATGCATGCATGGAGGTTTGTGGCAGAAAACAGTGGTGGTGATAATCTAGTGCAACAAATTGTATCGAGATGACATAACAGGGTTAGGGTTGTCTGCTAAATATACTTTTAATTCAAGCACTTGGTTGATTTGTACAGTTTGTCTTGTGATTTCTATGACTGGTCCTCTCGTCTCGTCTCCCCACAGCGAAAGAACACTTACTTGATTCGTGGTGGATGCATGTGTAACAACTGTTATGCACACTTGGTATCACAAAGACTCTTCACCAAACTTGTTGTAATCTTAATTATTAGGCAAGAGGAGTCAATCTAAAGGCAAAACGTTGCATCAAGGACCAGGCCACGAAGATATATTGGGGTTGTACCAACAAAAAACAAAATTGTTGAGATGGACAAGGGATTAAAGCAACTTAACTGGAAACCATATACCCCATATTTGAAAAACATGGCAAAAAGGGCATCAAACTCCCAAAAGCAAAAAGATACCTTTGTGTGATGACAAAGTCAAACCCACCTTTTTCCATCTTCTTCTTTCCCTGATTAAGACATTATTATGCTCAAACATTGAATTTTAAAAAGACACAAGTCTAATGTATGTCCAGGCCAAGGTCAGGGTATCATCATAAATAAATTCTCTTTGAGACAAACCAAGTCTATTATTAACCCAATTGCAGTCCGACGACGGAGTGTCCAGATTAACAAGAAGCCCGTCCATAACAGAAATTCCAACATATCCCAAATTGTTCCGAATGATGATGATGTATTCTGCGCGCTTGAGTAAACGTTAATGGATTTCAAGATCTATTGATGGGGTTCACTGGAATATTCAGTAAGAGCTTCTAAGCTCTTGGTGGTTGAACAATTAATTTAAGGATGATAGCTATGAGTAGAAAGCAATAGATGGGAAATTTATAATGGTTCACTAACTCTAAAGTTTAGCAAGTCTACACTAATAGAGTCTTTTACTCCTGAGAAATTTTTTTATTTTTTTAGGGAAGAAGGCTAAAGAATTACAAGGATTCAATGCACCAATGCTTGATCGATTACAATGTGTAGGATTTGATTTTCATTTATAATAATATTGTAGCCTAGCGTAATCATTGCGATCCTTGAGTAATTGTCGAGATCCATGCGTGATCAACGTGATTCATNCGAATGATGATGATGTATTCTGCGCGCTTGAGTAAACGTTAATGGATTTCAAGATCTATTGATGGGGTTCACTGGAATATCCAGTAAGAGCTTCTAAGCTCTTGGTGGTTGAACAATTAATTCAGGGATGATAGCTATGAGTAGAAATCAATAGATGAGAAATTTATAATGGTTCACTAACTCTAAAGTTTAGCAAGTCTACACTAATAGAGTCTTTTACTCCTGAGAAATTTTTTTATTTTTTTAGAGAAGAAGGCTAAAGAATTACAAGGATTCAATGCACCAATGCTTGATCGATTACAATGTGTAGGATTTGATTTTCATTTATAATAATATTGTAGCCTAGCGTAATCATTGCGATCCTTGAGTAATTGTCGAGATCCATGCGTGATCAACGTGATTCATTTCAAATTGTTACTACCTATGTTATAGAATGTTTAGCCGTTAAAGACTATATTCCATAGGTATGACATGGCTCTCTAGAAGGTGTGAGCTATCATTGTCTTAGTGCACACGAAGGTGACAATTGCCGACCTACCCCTCCCGAACTAGAAGTCTTGAACTGAAAGGTCTGAGTTATGAGGTCCAACTTAGGACGTCTAAGTGATGATATCTGAGCTGAGGTCCAACTTAGGAAGTCTTGAACTGAAACGTCTAGAGTTTTGTTATGAACCCAACAATTGTTCCAAAAATCCCATGACTTATGAAGGATTAAAGTTCATAACTATTTGAACCTAATATATTCTACCAAGCTTAGAGCAAAAATCTACAGCAGCCAATTCTATCGACACTAATCCAACGATAACCTTGCTCCACTCATCTACCAATATTCAATGCAAGAGTGTTATATCCATTCATATTACTAAGACATTTTAATTAAACTAATACGTTGCTCATTTCGTGACTCAAACTCATGATGTTATGTTTGCTCTAATACCAATTATTTTGAATCCAATCGTTGTTCCAAAAACCCTCCCCAAGACTTGTGAGGGATTAGAACTCGTAAAAATTTGAACATAACAAATTTAATATTATAAAAAATTATATGGAGTTTGAGATATTTTATTTGTTACTAAACAGATAATTTTAGGAATAATCTTGAACATTCAAAACAAATTTAGTTATTTCTAAATGTAGAAATTTACAACAACTTTTTGGCTTTCATAAAAGCTTATAGAAAAAACACAAAAAATCAGCTGTAAAAGGCTTGCAGTCGCCCTCTGCAACCCATATTTCTCCTTGGGCTTGGCAAAACAGAACAACATAAGTATTGTTAAATAATTGGGCTTGACACAAAAAAAAAATCCCACGGAATTAAATACATTCCATCTAGGTCTATTTGGTTATTAAAAAAAAAGACAATAGAAAGTAAAATAGATAGAAAATTAAATGAAAAAAAATATATTTTCATACATATATTTGATTAGCATGAAAAACTTCAAAGAAAATATTAAAACAATTATATTCCATTGTTTGAAAGAAAGAAAAATTACAAAAAAAAAAATTATAATTGTCTAAATTATCCTTGATTATTTTAACATGGTTAAAAATATTTTTTATTATTCAAATTTGTAAAAAATTAGCTCCTAATGTAATTCAAGGACAAGGAATCTTGATCTCTAAACCAAATAATATGATTAGCCTAATTTGTACAATTTTTTAAAAAATTAAAAATTAATTATATATTTTAAGAAAAATTAAAGATAAAATAGGATGTTAAGTTATTAAACACAATTTTCCTACTTTTTCTTGTGTTTTTTGCAAAAAAAAANTAAAAAATTAAAAATTAATTATATATTTTAAGAAAAATTAAAAATAAAATAGGAAGTTAAGTTATTAAACACAATTTTCCTACTTTTTCTTGTGTTTTTTGCAAAAAAAAAAAAGTTAGATAGATGTGAAAAAATCTAAATATATAAGAAAATTATTTTTTTTTTATCATTTTCTATTTAATACTAAACAAACACATGTAAAATTTTAAAATTTTTTATTTTTTATATTTTCTAACATTATCTTACTAAACAAACAAACCCCTAATTACATATAAATTCAAATCCGTTTAAAATTGAATAACAGATCCAAAATCCATATATCTAAATTTAACACAAGCATCTTAATCTCAATTTAATTTCAACAAATAATCACATAACTGTATGATATATGTTTATATATAATTCGGATCTGGATCAAATTTTGGATCATCAAACAAAATCAATCAATCATTGTATAAGAGCATCTCCAACAATACAATACTGTTTAATTTAGAGAGCATCTTTTCCAAAAAGATAAAATAAAAAATTAATTTTTAAACACCACCCTAATTAGACTCTTTATTCTTAGCATTTTATATTTTGTCCCTTTTGAAAATTAATTTAGATTTCCTCCCATTTTGCCTCCATTCTTTTAACAAAAATACACAAAATATATATACCAACTTATTTAAAATCTATTGATTAATTTAAAATCGATACATATTATATAGATATAAATACACATGCCAGTGAACAAGTTGAGGGATGGCCAACAACTGATAATGCTTGATACTGAATGGAATCAATAAATTAACAAGTTGAAACAATAATTTGATGGTCATATCTTGATGTTATACTTGTGAAATTTGAAGATAAATTTAGTTTATTCGGATAAATCCATTCAGAGTTTCAATTCAAATGAAGGGAAGAAGTGAGTCTAAGATACATTTAACCTGATCACTGAGATCACATTAGACCAGACCACGCATTTGGGATTTGCTTATTCTTACTCACTGCACTAGAAAATTGATGAGCACCTACAAACCAAGTTTGGTGCCAAAAAAAATAACGAATTTCAGTTTCTACACCAACGGTGGCAGAGGAATTATACGAGTCAATATCTCCATTGAGGTTACCGGCATCATCGATAAAGATCTAATCAAAGGAAGGGAGTAGTTGGAAGTGAAGGTTGGGGGTTTCAAGGTTCCACTTCCACATTAATGTGTGGGCCTCTACATATTTATTGCTATTCAGAGCTTTCACTTGCCACNGGCATTCGAGTCCGAGTGTTGCAAAGGAAGGGAGTAGTTGGAAGTGAAGGTTGGGGGTTTCAAGGTTCCACTTCCACATTAATGTGTGGGCCTCTACATATTTATTGCTATTCAGAGCTTTCACTTGCCACACCACATACTTTGTGGAATTAAAGTTGCTGCCAATTATACTTGGCATGGCTTAGCATATTATGAAATAAACAGTTTCTTATCCTACAAAAAATTAATCTATACCAACACAATCAAGTCACCCAGCAAACAATTCCAGAACCGTCACTTGAGCAATCATGTTCAGGTACCCGATACCACAAGGCTAACCAGTTCCCTTAACAAAAAGTGGAGCACTGTACAATCTTAAGACACAAGGCGGCTGCACAAGAACTTGGTGCCTTCAATAGAACCCTCAGAAAGTAAAAGTGGTGTCGTGTCTATGTTCCATCATTTTAGGCTCCACTATTCCAAGACTCTAAAGCCAATAACATAATCCTAAGATAGAGATGTTCTGTTTGTGGAAAACGGGGTTTATTCCCCAATTACTGTTAGTTGAATAACCAACCAAGTCTCAATTGCATCATTATTATCCATAACAATAGCCATCACCTCATATTGTTTTATTACACTCTGTGACATGTCTTGAATATCTAGTACTGATTAATTTTTCTTCCATCTAGCACTTTTTGCATAGCCCCAGATAATTTTCCACAATTGACACATCTCAACACCTTGAGTCAATAGTTTTGAACGAGACCATTGATAGCTGACAACTATGATTCAACATTGAGATGTCTTCAAATCAACCACGAATCGATTGAGACTCATCATATTATGCATAAAACAATGATCTTCAAGCTCAAGGTCCTTCATATCCACAGTAAGAGGAAAATAAAATGCTCTCATGAAGACCAGCGAAGAATTAGAAGGATAAAAGTAGGATTAACTAAGAAACTGGTATCAGTTGCGTCTATTGTTCAGTTATTTAGCCTCCACATATTCCTAGAGTTTGAAACAAAAAACAGCAGCAACCATTTCTGTTAATGCAACCAATCTAATCTTACTCCATGTGAGAATCTTTGCATCTCACCTACATCTTTATTCAATTAACAAAATTATGCACCCTAAATTCCATCACTATTGTATCAAAATAAGAAAAAAACCTACCTATGTAAAAGAAAATTGGTGAGTTTCTCTTGTTCTGATAAATCATCTGTATTAACATAATACTAAAAACTGCAGCTACCCAATCAATAAGTTCTCTAGTTCTTGTTTAAGTTTGTTTCCTTATAACTATGAGGTATTAGAGTTAAAGCAACAAAACCGTTGTCGTTCAACTGAAATAATTATATTAGTAGCTTAAATCAAGTAGAGGCAAACATTTCACCAGAACAACAATCTTGCATCAAAGTATAATATACTCAAAAATAAGGATTTGGAAAACCAACCAGATAACTTGGACATTGCAAAGAGCAAGGAAGTAGTAATCAATTGGATAGATCTCAGCTACAAATGGGGCATAGCACCAGGCCATTCTCATTACAATCAGAGCACCTCACGACAACAGTCCTCCCTTGCTTTTGTCCCAACTCTTCCTTCACCACCATCACCCTCTTACAACTTCCATTACACTGGAAACAAGGCAAAAACCTCACCCCCCCACAACCCTCACACACATACCCTGCCCTCAATTTAGGCAGTCCCACTAGCAAATCTTTCAAACCCCCCTCTTCCACTATCCTCATAACCTCTTCAGCTCCACCAATATACCTTCCTTTGACAAACACTCTGGGCGGCACCAATTCTCCGTTTTCTTTCCCCTTCATTATCTCTCTCAACTCTTCCTTAAACCCTCTATCCATTGAAATATCTCGCTCGCAAATTGAAACGCCAAGTCCTTCAATCGCTGCTCTGACAGCATTGCAAGTCTCGAAAGTCTTCCGTACTCCCCTCAAGGTCGTGGTATAGATCACGACCTTGTTTTCACCATTTGGCGGACATAGCTTTTCATACCCATCTAGCGAATACTTTAAAACACAAGATTTTGTTGAAATAATGTCGTCGTTTGATGGGTTGAAAATGCTAGATTTATTTAGCGTACGGGCAGACATATTAGGGTTTGAGTTTTCTTTGTTGATGTCTCTAAATGGGAATGGTTTGGAAGGTAGGGGAGAGAATCGGAAGCTGTCATTGACGGGGTCAAGACCAGCCATGAGTTCCCAAGAGTTGATGATCTCGGGTGTTTCGGAACGCAGGGTTGTGGGATGGGAGAGTGGGGTAGGGAAGAGTGAGCCGAGGGTGAATCGAGGAGAAGGAGTTGGAGGGACGGTGGTGGGTGAATGATCAGAGGAGGGTGGGTCGAGGGTCAAGAGGCCATAAGTTGTGGAGGTGAGAGAGACAATATGGTGACCCAGTGCTGCTGAGCCTCCGATTTGGCTGAAATCGTCGTCGTGGTTGAGCAGAGTCGATGAAACACAACCCATGTTCAGCAAATTTGAAGAGAGCAGCAAAACAGAGGAAGAGGGAGAGGGAGAGGGAGAGGGAGAGAGTGTGTAGTGAGGTGCATGTAGAATGAATAAAGAAGACAAATGCTTCGATGCAGGAGACAACTTTAAAAGAAAGAAAGAAAGAAATTGTAGTAGTCTGAGTTTAATAAATGCAGCCATGTAGTGTAGTGTAGTGTAGTGTAGAACAGTACTATTCATTCAATTTTCAAATGTGGTGGATGCGCAGGGAATTTTACCGCTCAAAATTTAATTTAATTTGAAAGGTACAGTAGCTGAATTTTTGTTTTTTTTTTTAAGGGAAGGGAAGGGAAGACTATGCTACCGGATAACAAATTTTGGGGTGGACATGACAGCCAGTCAAACACATTGCATTCTCAGCTGAATTCCATTTACATCCAAATTGGAATTTCCGAGTCTGCATTTTTTCTCAGGGGGCCAAATCTAAACATGATGTATCTTATTTCACAATTTGTTAAGTTTATCAACATTTTATTCTATTATTATCATAAATAAATAATCTATATGATAAAAATAAGTGATTATTACCATCAAGGTATTCGGACCACAAAGACAAACTCTAATGCCTACCATGAAAAATAAAATTCCGCAAAATGCTATCCCATTCTGTCAACTTTGTCATCATCTTATCAAAAATGAAGTCCCAATAGTAATATTCAATGCAAGTAGGATTCTAGTGGGTGAGGTAGAAGTTCCTGTTGATATCATTAATTTCTTCATGAGTTCTTGATGAAGAAGGCCCCCAAATAAAGACAATTCATACGCACAATCAAAAACATATGCACAAACAAACCACTGCCAGGAGGGTAGCTGAAGGGAAAACAATAACAAAGGAACGCACTATAGGTAGCCAATGAGCCAAAGGAACAAAAACAAATGGTACACTCAAGTATTTTTTGCTTAGCTCTTGGTTCAAACATGGAGATGCAATTTGCTTGGAGCGCAACAATTCTCTCACCCAATGAAATTATGAGCATGGCTGCCATCCTCGCAAGAGCTTTTGCTGCAGCTGCTGGTGGTATTGCTGTTGCTATAGCCTTGAGGGGATGGCACATTAGAAGTTGCTTTTGCAGTACTGGCGATGCTAAGACACAAGGCTTCACCTAATGGTCCACCAGGTGGTGAACCTGTCCATGAAACAGGGTTCAGCCACTGGGTTTTCAAAATCCCACCATCTCTTTCTGAATCCAAAATCCCCAAGCCCATTTGGGCATGTTCATACTCTTCATCAGTCCCATTCCCATGAGACATTGAGAGTGTAAGGGACGAGAGTGGCGGCTTCCTACTGGAATACACGGACCACTTCCCTCTGTTTTCATCGAAACATTCGTTCTCTGCCGTTGACCATGCATCAATGAAGTGCCTTGTTTTTTGTGTTGTGTCATTTCCTTGGAGACAGGCAAGTTTGGGGTTAAGTAATGAGCCACACTGGTCACTGAGCAGTTGATGTTTCAATCTCTGGCCACTAGCACTACCACTATCAGCGTACGGATTCAAGTTCGTGGGTTCTTCCAGTCCCTCGCAATGTTGATTTAAACCACGCACATCTTTAATCTGGTTTGTGTGGTCTCTCTTTAATCCCACTCCCGATGATGGTTGCAGCAGTTGCTGCCATTGCTGGTCACAAGTAGAGACAGGGATGGTGCCAGTGCCACCTTTCAAGAACCATTCAATGCCCCTTCAGTGATCAGCACACACACAATAACCACATTTATTTACACAAAACAAAAGACGGTAGACAGACCTACATCATAGTTGTGGATAAGAACAAGAAAATGAATGAAACAACAACTAAAACAACATTCTCATTTTTACACAGAAATTAAAAAAATTATTAAAAAACTCTAATACGAGTAAAAAATAATTATACAAGATTAAAATATATTTATTTAATACTTATTAGGAAGAAAAAAAAAATAAAAGGTATTTAACCTCCACAAAATCCAATGCATTAAAAAATTAAGTGTAAATTTGAAATAAAAAATATTAATTATGTTTTAATTTCATTATACAACATAATATTATGGAATAAAAAAAAATTTATAAAACGACATATATTTATCACAAAGTAAAATAACCATTTTGGTCCTAAGATTCACAGAGAGAGCTTGGAGCAGCCAACCCACCTGGGAAGATCATGTGAGGTAGTCGTAGGAGAGACCGACGTTGGGAAGTGGGGAATAGGCTTTTGAAATGGCTGGGTGGTAGCCGTATTACTTGGAAGGATCAATGGGTGGTGATTGTCAATTTTGATGTTGGTGTTGGTGTTGTTGGTGGTGGTGGTGTGGGATTGAATTTCCACAGGCTTTCTTGAACGGGGCCGGCTTTTGTGGGCATGCCGCTCACAGTACTTCTGCTCAGGCGCCACGTCCCTCGAGCACCGCCATTTCTTCCCATCTGTCCTTCTACACCTCCATGGCTCTGGATCCGAGCCACTTGAGAACCTCAAATCCAAACCAGAGACTACAAACACCAAAATCACATTTTTTTGCTCATAAGAAAAAGGAAGAGATTAACAGTTTACACTATATGTCATAACATACTATTTTATATTAGCTTTTGAACAGAGATTTATTGAAAGCAAAGCTTACTTATGTTGTGTATATTAGAGTATAGGGAGAGAAAGGAACAAGTATCAAGCAATAGAAACGGAAGTGGTGATTAAGTTTAACTACAGAGACACAAAGCAACCAGAGTTTTTACTGTTAGATTGGGCGAAAGGAATATGTGAGGGACTTCTGGTGATGGACAAGAGAAGTTCAGGAGGAATAGGGATAGAGGCCATCATGTACTTGTAAATCATCATCTGTCTCTCAAGCTCTTGCCACTGAGACCGTGTTAACGCAACTTTACCAGAGGCTGGCATGCCTTGTCCTACAACCATAGAGCAAAAACCTCAAAAAGAAAGAAAAAAAACTTATCTCTCACATATCATTCAGTCTCCAACAATCACCGCTATTTTGCCCTGTATTTTTTGAATCAAAGAACATCAATACAACAATAACCAGACTTGAAGAGAGAGAGAGAGAGAGAGAAAGGGCTTGACCTGAGGATCTGAAAGACGTATTAGCAGTAAAGGTGTGCGACGACCTTGGCAAAACTGTAGCCCCAGAGAGAGAACTAGCGCCGACAACATTGTAGATATCGCTCACACACGCCACCTGATTGCTTAAGCTACAAAATACGGGTCCACCACCTTCATCGCCTGCATAACCCCTAGAGCTATTCTCATAAGAAGGATGATGAGGCATTCTCATCATCTTTCTTGGACAAGAAAATGATAATGATTCAGATTCAGTGGGTTGCATCTTCAAACCCAACCCAACATCACATTCAAATGATGATGTTTTCTGTGAGTCATCACCGATACCCACAAACCCAGTTCTATCACCTTTCCCCATACGCAGTGGGAACACTATTTTCACAATAAATCCAAATACAAAAATCACAGTACTACTGAAACAAACCCTGAGAAAGAACCCAAGCTGATCTTCAGTCTCTCTCACACAGGTTGTATAAGCACACTAACCCTTTGTTTCTCTCTGTTTGTATATTAGATAGAAGGGTTTCGATTTGGGGGTAACGGTGCCGCCATTTTGAACTGGGTTTTGCTTCCTATACTTCCAACACTCGCTCGTCCCCGTTATGATTCACAAACGGACAAACCCACCAAGTCTTGGGCCTCTCTCTCTCTCTCTCTCTCTCTCTGTGTATTGCCTTTTTCACGATATGACTAAATGGTACTGAATTGAATTTATATCTCTACTCTACAGTGAAAACTAGGAGTGCATAAAATTGGTGGTTTAGGTGAGGGAAAAACCCTTACAATTTACAACAACATTCACTTCGAATTCAATTTTTGATGAGTAGAGAGAGATTAATTAGTTGGCTGTGACAATAAGAGGGTGAAGGTGAGGGGTGGAGTCTGATTAGAGGAGCACCAACCAAGTGTCTCTTTCCTTTTCTGACAAGGGGTTTGCTTCACGGTCTCCATCAACAAACGTCCTTTTCTTGTCCTGCACGCCGTTTGCTATATTTGGTTTTGGGAGTCGTAATCATAGGCCCACTGGGCAATCGTTGGGACCAAAACCAGCTCATGGGCTTGGGCTTGGGCTTGGAGTTGGGTTGGGTTTAGTTAGGTGGACATCTTTAATGTTGTTTCAAAATTAAATTCAAATTTTAAAAANGAGTTGGGTTGGATTTAGTTAGGTGGACATCTTTAATGTTGTTTCAAAATTAAATTCAAATTTTAATAATAAAAAATTTAATCTAATATGAATCTCAACAGTAGAAAACTCAATTTCATAACAAAAATTTTCTAAAAAATTGCTATATTGTCTCAAAAGCTCTTTTCTTTNAATAAAAAAATTAATCTAATATGAATCTCAACAGTAGAAAACTCAATTTCATAACAAAAATTTTCTAAAAAATTGCTATATTGTCTCAAAAGCTCTTTTCTTTAATATTTTTTCATCCAATTTTTTTTTTTGTTTAAACCGCTTCACAAAAACTGGATTGTATCAACATTTTTTGCTTGTGGTCAGATTATTTCAAATCGCATCAACAAAGACATCACCGAAAACCAAAAACTCAAGTTGCATAACCAAAAAACAGAAACCTTGGAGAGAAATCGAAGTCATCACCGNGCTTGTGATCAAATTATTTCAAATCGCATCAACAAAGACATCACCGAAAACCAAAAACTCAAGTTGCATAACCAAAAAACAGAAACCTTGGAGAGAAATCGAAGTCATCACCGTCATCTTCTTCAAGTACGTTTCATCGCAGCTTGCATATTGATTTTGGNTCTTGTTTAAACCGCTTCACAAAAACTGGATTGTATCAACATTTTTTGCTTGTGGTCAGATTATTTCAAATCGCATCAACAAAGACATCACCGAAAACCAAAAACTCAAGTTGCATAACCAAAAAACAGAAACCTTGGAGAGAAATCGAAGTCATCACCGTCATCTTCTTCAAGTACGTTTCATCGCAGCTTGCATATTGATTTTGGGTGTTGGAATTCGAAACCTAAAATAGTAAATTAATATAAGGAGGAAGGGGGAAGTTTTTGACCGCTTGCACAGTGATTTTGGCGGGGAACCTTGTTGGTAGTGAAGAAGGCTTTTATTTTTGACTCAAAATGGTTTGGGTAAAGATTTGGTATTCCCTCAATTTAGGTCAAGGGTTTTTTTTATTTTATTTTGATATAAGTTTGACTTACAGATTGAAGAGGGTTTTTAAAATTTGTTTATTTAAATTTAAATTTGAGTTAGATGACCTTAATATCTTCTCGCCAATCTNTATTTTATTTTGATATAAGTTTGACTTACAGATTGAAGAGGGTTTTTAAAACTTGTTTATTTAAATTTAAATTTGAGTTAGATGACCTTAATATCTTCTCGCCAATCTACTGTACGAAATCTACATACAACTTGTTACCCCCAATATCTTGTTTTAGAGCCAAATTGGTAGAACCACTTTCGGACGTTGCCAAAATCTGAATAGACAAGCCAATGGAAAAGAGACATGGAGAGAAAAATAAGTGCAAATGTTAACTATCGAGGAGTCCCAAGTCCCAACCTTGGAAGAACAAATTAATTCCTCAAAGCATTCAATGCTAGGGGCAAAACATTAATGATTCGTGACTACTTAGCCCACTAANTCTTAACTATCGAGGAGTCCCAAGTCCCAACCTTGGAAGAACAAATTAATTCCTCGAAGCATTCAATGCTAGGGGCAAAACATTAATGATTCGTGACTACTTAGCCCACTAATATCATCAAGTTCAACTAAAAAATAAAAGACATGGAATATCAACTGCAAGTCATTCTGACACAATAAACGTACACAAGAACCCAAGAGATCAAAAGTAAAAATCTNACTGAGAATATCAACTGCATGTCATTCTGACACAATAAACGTACACAAGAACCCAAGAGATCAAAAGTAAAAATCTCTTCCTTAAACAATGGGACCAATCATATTACACATCAACAAAAGAGTTCATTCAATGTTTTGTCTCAAAGAAAATCAAAAAAGACATCTGAAAGGCTAGCCAATTAGGAACATTCAGCACGAGATACCCCATTAGTACTCAGTCCCGATCATTAATAGATGGTTAAAGCTCGACTACAGGTTCCAAGGGAGGCGTAAATGCACAGCTCCAGGCACAGTAATGGGCGTGACTCGAGAGCTGTTGACCCACAATCTAACGGGCCAGTCCCCAGTTGCTCCCATTTACAATCGAATCAGAGGAATTTCTCTTTGACATGTTGTCAGACAACTCAAATACTTACTAGTTAGTTGTTGACAACTATATATACAAGCTAAAATAACCTTACCTTACCTTACAAAGTGCCAAATTTTCTCCAATGTACAAACTCTGAAGTGGTGCCAATTGCTGGTTTACAGCCAGATAGGCAACATGCACCTTCTCCATTCTCGAACATCTATTTATCTCTTGCACATCATATTGCATCATGTGGGTTGTGTCGTTTCGTTACATATGCTGGCATGATTTAAAAGGGTAAGATGATCCATATAGCTCAACTGCCTGCTTCCTACAACTATTGTTTATGGCCCTCCTTAAGGTTAAGGCTTTAAAATAAAAAGGGACCACTCGGCATTGCAGATCAATCATTCTTCACCAACAGCACCACATCTATGAACTGTAATTTTGGTTAACGACAAGAACAAGAAATAAGCCTCGATTTTCATTTCTATTTTGAGTTACTTAGGTATATCCCCACTTGGATGCTCTGTCCTCCGAAGGACTAAAGAAAGAAAATGAGAAAGGACACTCACAAACTAATCAACATGGTCTATTCATTTTACAGGCTCCACATGGATGGTCAGCCTGTATGTAATATGTTCTTCCCAGTGTCCCCCAGCCCAGGCCTTCATTGGTTTGCTCGTCTCATAATTTAGTTACTCCTATTTCACCATGCAATCAAATGCCCAGAGCCACACTAATTGTGGTTAGTGCCAAGGAAAAATTTAGTAACTGTAGAAACTAGTCCACTGGTTACACAGATATCGTCAAGGGAATCTACAAAAAAAGTGAAAAGAGAGAATGCACAAGTATATACATACCTTAAACTTGACAAAAAATAAGTGAAAAAGGGCAGTTGGTGCTAGCTGGTGTGAGCTCTACCTGAAATACACTAAAAATCTTTAGTGCGTAGATTCCCAATTGAGTAATAGGTAATTATGAAAGGGATTATGTGATTACTTAACGACCTGTACATACAACACCTTGTCATTGCAGTATTGCTGGCATGTGCAATTGACGGAAGAACTAGACATATATATCCTCTCTCTCTCTCTCTCTCTCTCTCTCCATATATATATATATTGGCTTTTTGTTGGCAATATGGTTCAAGAATTAAGAGCATTATTAAGGAAAATTAACATACGAATGACACTCCAATTGCTGTGTAATGACGTTGTGAGGCATTCCATGTAATTTGAGTAAGGCTTTGTTGTTTTAGAAAGCACACTTCACACACCATCACGGGCCCAGACCGAGTGGCTTTGGTTGGTCTCCAAGAGGCTCACTCCTCCACCCATGTGTTGGGATCGATTCCTCTTGACCTTAGTTCCAATTAGCTACCAAAGAATTAGAAAAAAAAACACGAAAAGAAAAGAGAAGCTCACTCCACCAGTCACATTCTTCATAAGGAGCAAATCAGGTAATAGTAGCCGCATTCCAAACAGAACATTCATGAGCAGCTACTGAGTACTAAATGACAATGCTATAGCTTATAGAGCATATGTTAAAATAGTGCATCAAAAATACCAAATGGTTGAATCTGATTATACTTTTGCTCAAAAATAGGATGTTATTCAAGTTGAGATGAGAATGCAAGAAGACATATTAAACATAAATTTCCTAAGAATCCACCTAATAGAATAGTTATGATCACCAGAACAAATGATATGCATATCTAAGCTGCTTGAATGAGAAAATGCACCTTTCAAAAGAAGAAAATATGTGTGTGACAACTTCAATAATTGAAAGTCAAACTTGACCCAGATAAAATCTGACATACTTACCCATATATTACTCCTAGGATACAAAATATGTAATGCGAAGTATGCAAGTATTAAATGACTCAAGATGTAGCTTCAAGAAGCAATCCATTGACTAACCAGATTGACCGGGTAAATCCATCAATATGAGTTCTTATGCAGAAAAATGAAGCCAAAAGACATCAAAGTAGTTAACTCTATTTTCAGAAGTGCTGAGGCTCAAGGGGCTACTCCCAAGAAGACATGATACACAGAAAATACAACAGGAGGTCAGGCACCTGATAACACACGCGATCCCATTTAATACTCCTGAAAGCTTAGGTGTTCAAAGCAAAACAGCCAAAGCCATTTAGATTTCCTAATTGCCATCATAGACATGACATAAAGAGAAACAGTTTCACCAGCATAAAATGAACGAATCGATTTAACAATCAAAAAAGAGGAAAAGCCTGGCTTGTTTTGTGTTAGTTATAAACTGGGTAACCTACAAGAGCACGCAGTGAGATCACCTCTCACCTATTCAGCTCAAAACCCTTCTAATACGCAATAATTAGAGACCTGCTAAAGTCTTCACCATTCAACATTAATCAGCTATCTAAAACTGCACAGAAAGATAGCAAACTCATGCTAGTGATTATCATCAACTTTAGATTT